AATGTAATATTATAGAACTTGTTTTATTTGCTGCTTCTTCCTTTCACTAGTTCAACTGCTAGCTTTTATGTGCCCAGCCATTTTGAGGAACCACAGTGTTGAGTGTCCAAGCTCCTTCTTCTTAGGGATAATTAGGTGCCTAAGAAAGATATTAATAGAAGCTAGCAAGCTGAAGGGAGCTGGCCATCTAGCTATTATAAAATGCTGAGGAGAAAGGTGGGACTTTACCCTGCTTTTCTCCGACAGTTAGGTATTTCCCTGCACTTGGGATTCACAGCTGTTAACCTTTTTTTGAAGACAGGTCAGATATTTCTCATGAAATAATAAAGGGGAGAAGGAGGTGGTCCTTGTGTCTAAAGAGCAAGTTCCTCCTCCTCACGCTTTGTCTGATGTGGAGTAAAACTTGAATTCTGGTCTCCCACCTTCCAAGTGAATGCCCTAACTGCCAAGCTAAAACATCCTCTGGAATATGAACAGTTGAAGCTGTTACACTTCATGTAAATAATTAAATATTCATTAAACCAGAGGCTGGAACCCAAGAATTCCAGATAAGTGCTATAATCATCAGGATTTACAGCTGTACGCACTCCCTCTGTGGGGAATATTTGATTATTTGGTCAAAGTGGAACAGCTTTGCCAAAGGGACTGATATTGACCCACCTTAGAAGACCATGCCTGCCATTGTAGAGCACACATTTAGAAGGTGAGAGGGTTGAGGTACAAGCCCCACCCCATACCAAGCAGGAAAGGATGGATTTGAACCTTGGATTTCCACATCCCAGCTGAACACTGGAAACCATTCAGATATTGGGTTTAGGAGACCTGCTCCCACCTTCATTCAAGGAAGGTTAAGGCATGCTTGAAAATGTTTATTGGATTACACTAGAGGTGCACCAATACTTTGGTCTGATGTTGGATTAGTATCGATATAAAGAAAATTGTCCATATTGGAAATTGGCTCTATGTGGCCAATAATTTGGCAGATAAATGTTCATGCATGCACGCAGCCACAGCACAGTACTCAGGCAGCAAGGAGCAGAGCTGCATGTAGGTGGTAAGTCCGTTGTGTTAGAAGGGGAGGGGGGAGAGAAGGGGCATGGGGGGCAGATTAGTGCCCCCCATGGTAAGGGAGGGGGCAGGGATAAGTGCTGCCCAGATGGGGCATGGCAGGGTGGGGGGCTCCTGCTGCTGCTTGCACCCCAGGAGGTCATGGGAGGAGCATGTGCCCCTGGATCTGCATGGGGCAGGGTGAGGAGGAGTGGGTGGTCTGGAGACGGGGCTGCAGATCTTGGGCTGCAGCCATCCTAAATTTTGCCATAGCCCTGCTCCCAGTGCTGCCGCCACCACACACCTGGTGGAGCCCCAGCTCAATGCCCCAACTCCACTCACTGGCCGGGAAGAAGCCAGGGCTGCACCAGGCACGTGGCAGCAGCAGTGCTGGGAGCAGAACTATGATGAAATTTGTGGGGGCTGCATCCCTCTCCATAGCCCCTGGCCCAAGCCCAGCCCCCGCTGAAAAGAGCCCAGCACAGCCCCCCTGCTCCGCAAAGATCTGGGGGCACACGGCCCCACCATGCCCTCCCAGGGTGCAAGCAGCAGTGGGAGCCACCCCCCTGATAAGCCACGGCTTCATTGCACACCCTGCTCTGCCCTATCCCAACTGGGCAGCTCCTGCCCCTGCCCCCTCCCTCAATGTAGGGGGCGTTGATCGGCTCCCCACACACGTACACCTCTTCCTTCTCCCCTTCCAGCACAATGGACTTAGCAGCTGGACTCAGTTCTATTGGAAATTGGATCTGTATTGGCCAATATGCCTCCTTAAAAATCAGCTATTAATATTGGCCCAAGAAATTTCTATCCATGCACCCCTAGATTATACCCACAGACAAGATAACTGAAGTTCTGAAATGCTTGGCAGCACCAGTGGCAGAATCTTAGGGATCAAAGGGATTTTAAGTGGCAGCTGAACAGGGATATTGAGAATTTGTTGCATCTAAATGTTAGTTTTTCATGTCCAAAGTGTTACTTAAGCTGTCAGGTCCTTTTGTGCATTTAGCTCAAAGTGTTTGTATTAGTCACACTTCTTTTATTTTTTTTTTTGCCGTGATAATGATGAAATACATTTATTATCTGCAGTCATAAATATCCTAAAGAGATTCCTATCTTTGTTTAGTTACAGTAGTTTGAGTTATTCCTATTAAGTGAATAGTCATGCAGTTTGTAAATTTTAAAAACACAAATAGCTCTGGCATCAATTTTCTGATATGAGAGTAGAAGATTTTTCATTTGAAAGAATCCCAGCAGATAAGACAGTTCCATGTACCTGACCAAGACTATCCTCCCAGAAGTTGTGAATTATTTTGTCTTTTGTTTTATATGGTGGATGTGAGAAATGTACACGTTACATTTCTACCAGAAGAATCACTGCTCTCCCAGTAGAAACTATGGGTGGACGAGTGTTCATTCAACTTCTCCTGTGGGGAAGGAAGAATGCCCCCTGCAGGAGAAAGATCTTCCAGGTATCAACTTGGAAGATTGCCTTGCAAACAAATGCCGGTATGCTCCTCTCCCAGTCGGGGGGGGGGGGGGGGGGGGGGGGGGGGGGGG